TTTTTTCCCACAATAACTGCAGCCAAATGGGCTTAGTCACTGGGACCAACACTGTTTGTACTGTTCCCAGAAATTTGTTTTCTTGTTTAGCAGAAGGCTCTAGACTGCAGTAACTGGGTTCGTCATTGGTGCTGGGAGTGAGGCCATTCTCCAGAGGTAAGCTTTTCTGAGAAGCCGCAGGTTCCTCTGGGAGAAAGGAAAGGAATCCTTTTAGAACCTGGACAGAGCAGGTGAACCTAAGGCTTTGTGGGGCCACGGCACGTGCCTGCCTTCCGCTCTCTGTGACCACTGGACAGCCAGCCAGCGTGCGTCTATTCCTGGGCAAATGGGCCTGCTAAAAATAATCAGGCAGCTATTCCAGCAGATTCAAAATAGCCACGTCTCCTCCCCACCAACCCTCAGGCAGGGCTCTGCATCCTTCTGCAGGGCTTTTCTCTGGCTTGCCTGAGTGTCTGGGGCCTTGGGAGGGGGAGGTCCTGGGGGAGGTGGCTGCCTTCAATTAGCTTGTGAGTGTGAAGGCTTTTAGACCAACGGTGTTAAATGCCGCTTATATCTTGAAGTTCAGGTTTTTTACAGGAAACAACAACCCAAAAACCAGGGCAAAGAGAGCAACTCGAGAGTCTGTTCCCAGAGAAGGAAGGTAGGCTGAAGTGTGCACACCTGTGCATGTGGGCCTATGTGTGGATGTACAGGTGAAGGCCGCCCTGTCTGAGGATTCAGGAAAGGTTGGGGCCTCTTAGAGCACCTGTCTAGGCCTATCAGACAATGTAAAGCAGGGAAAATGGCACCCTCCTGATTCACAAGAAGTCTGTTTGAGGTGAGATTGGCTCCGGTAAGACCCTTGGAAGTGAAGGGCTGAGGAAGTGAGGGACTTCTCATGACTGGGGGGATGTGGGGGCTTAAGTCACTTGGCACTCCCTGAGCAGTGCTTCCAGGCAGCGGTGCCTTCAGTGAGACCCCCCAAGGCTCCTTTGGATGGGGCAGCTGCTGATCCTATGGGCTCTTGGCTCTTGGCTCTGTTCTTGGTGGAGATGGCTAATATCTCTAATCACAGCCCCCAGGTAGCAAGGAAGAAAACAAAGCACCCCTTCTCCTGTCTGGGGTTCTCATACCTCTTCTCTCAATTTGTGGGAGCACTTGAGTTGGGCAGTTCCTGTCCCCAGAGGTCCTCATGGCGAAAAGGGCTTTCCCTGGAGGAGCAGGGATCCTTCTCCTGGCTCTCCAGCTCTAGTCTGAGGGGGGAGTGGTGGGCACTGGGAATCCAGGTGGGGCATTCAGTATTCTCTGGGTTGGGTGATGCCATGTCAGGGTACCAGTGTTAAATACTTTCTCGGGGGCCCTCGTGCCACAACAGCAGGAGGCATCTGCCTTGGAAATGGTGCCGAAACTGTTTCCTGAGCTGTAATTAGCCACGTAGCTAGCTACAGCTGATTGTCTTTAGAGGGCTGTGGAGGGTGGGTTTGGGGGCTCAGAGCCTCCATCCCTGGGGAACAAGTGGGCCGGGGTGGGGAGGGTTAGGTGGGGGGTAGAGGTATCCTGACAAGCTGCAGAGCAGTGTTGTGGCCCCAGGTGACTGGTCCTGTGCTCGGTGTGAACTAGGTCTGGGAGAAGAAGGGATGAAGTTGGGGGGGCTGGGGGACAGTGACACGGGGGGGCCAGGGTGTGGGTTGTAGTGTGGATCAACTAGGGTACAGGACCAAAGCCAGGCTGGGAGGGTATGCTTGAGTGTGGGCCTCTGCCTTATAGCCGGGTCCTGGAATCTCCAGAGGTGAAACGGGGGTCAACCGCTGGCCCCTTAGGATCAACTTCTGGTACCAAGCGGGTGAGAGGCAGTTTGTATCTTGGGTAGCAGCTCCCTCCTTACACACCTCAATTTGAGTTTGGCCTTGGGCTCTTGGTGTGTAAAACAGGAGGCTGTCCTCTGTGGGTTGTTAAGCCCTAGGAGTCTTTATCTTCCTCTACCCCATTGCATGGAATCTTGTTCCTAAGATCAGAGAATTGCTAGAAGACCATGGGAATCATAACTATAAATCCTGCTGAAATGAGATTGTCTAGTTAGTAGGAAATCAGAATCTAAATTGACTGGCAAGAGGAGAACCCAGGTTGAGATGCAGCCACACTTACTGTTGCAGGTCACCTGTTGGGTGGGACTGATCTGACTGTAGGCTGTGTCACAGGCATACTGCCTTATCCTGAGAGCACCCTTTCCCCAAAGCCTCTATTCCTTTCAGATTTTATTTTTATGCAGAAGACATTGAATACAAAGCAAATACCCTAATGTAATCTACCACTTCTTGGGGTTTGTGTACATTGTTCCAGGAAAGTGATTCTCCAACTTGAGTGTACATTGGCATCACCTGGGTTGGGGCACCTGGCTGGCTCAGTCAGTGGAACGTGTGACTCTTGGTCTTGGGTTGTGAGTTCGAGCCCAATGTTGGGTATAGAGATTACTTAAAAAATAGAAAAATCTTAACTCCCCCCCCCCCCAACCAAACAAACCAAAAAACCTGGTACCTTGGTCTCACCCTCAGAGATTATGATTTAATTGATTTGGGTGCCACCTTGGCCTTGGGATTTTAAAAGTTTCCCAAGTGATGCTATGTGCCACTAAGTTGGAGACCCACTGAGAGAGAAGTTTAAATCTCTCTCCCCAAAAGGAAGGGATTTTTATCTTATATTAGCAGATAAGAAAAAAAAACACTGGAACTAATAAATGAGGTCGGTAAGGTTGTAGGATACAGGATCAATGTGCAAAACTGTCTCCTCTCCTACAACTGAAAGGCTTGGCATGTATCCCTCCTGGTTTTTCAGTAGGATTATGTGGACATAGACATTCCACGTATGGTGGTCTACAGCTTTTATTTTCTGTGTCACGGCAGTTTTTCCACGTCCGTACGTGAGATCAGCCTACTCTATCACTTATGTGGAATAGAACCCGAGTTTGGGTCCTTGGCTGTATGACCTTGAGTTTTTTTTTTTTTTAAGTATTTAAGTAATATTTACACCCAACTTGGTGCTCAAAACTCGTGACCCCAAGATCAAGAGTTGCATGCGCCACTGACTGAGCCAGCCAGGCGCCCTGATCTTGAGGTTTTTTTGTTTTGTTTTAATTTAAGCAGACTTCATGCCCAACATGGAGCCCAGCTCAGGGCTTGAGGTCAGGACCCTGAGATCGAGACCCGAGCTGAGATTAAGTGGAATGCTTAACTGACTGAGCCACCAGGCACCCTGCCGACCTTGAGCTATTTTAACCTTGATGGCAATACATTCCAGACCAGGTGGTTAAGGATTAAGTGATACAAGGGAAAGCATCTAGTGAGGTTCTGTGTTTGAATCTAAAGTTGTGAGGAGTGTCATCAAACTTTTTGCCTAGAGGGATTGATAGGATCTTCTGAGCCTGGCCACTGTTTAGCTCTGCTTGATATTTTCCAGTCCCACGGATTCACTTTCAGATATTAGGAAGAAGGTTTATAGCTTTCCCCTCACTTTGGGGCAGAACATGTTTCCCAGTGTTCTTCACTAACTCTAATGTGTTTGTGAATCCCCTGGGGGTCTTTTTAAAATGCAGCTTGTGATTCAGTAGGTCTGGGATTGGGCTGTATTTCTAGCAGGTTCCCAGGTGATGCTCAGTGCTTCTGGACCATAGACCGCCCTCTGAGAAGCAGAGTCCTAGAGCATTGGTTCCCAGTGGAAGCATAAATCCAAATTAAGCATAATAAAGCACAAACCCAGATTAAGGTATAATTCACCATATCAGTGGAGGATTTTTGGTTTTAAGAAGGCTTTTGATTTTTGCAGACAGAATAAAATTTACTGGCATGGGAGGTACTGAATTATAAGCATTCTAAAATAAGTCTGTCACAAACCTCTAAAGAGAGCCAACCCAGCTTTGCATAGCACTTAATACATATCTCAACTAATCCTCGTACCAACCATGCTTTATGAGCTGTGTCCCCAGCTTAGGAGGAAGAAAACTGAGGTTCTTATCTCCTTTACGTGTCTGCTGCCTGCTCCTGGCCCTTTATCGTGTCTCCTGGCCCGGATCCAATTGACTTAGGTGTCCAGGTTCCTGTCGATTGATAATGCTGTCCCTCCTGCTCTCAGGATCACCTGGGAACACAGTTTGGTGCGTGTGCCTTGCAGACCTCCGCTGGCTCTCTGCTGCCTACAGGATAAAGTCCAGACTCCACAGGGAGGCCCCAGAACCCTCACTGAGTCCACTGAGTAACTTGATTCTGAAAGCATGACCAGTTCCTTGCCACTGTATGTTTTGCTGGTCCCTCAGCTTGGAGCCTCCCCCTCATCCTTTTGAATTCTTACTCCTCCTTTGTTCCAGTGCTTTCTTGCCGCATAACTGTTTGATTGACTTACGGTTTTCTGGGTAATGTGAGGGACATACATACATGTGGTTTCACGGGTCTTTAAATATACTCCAATGTCGGGGCGCCTGGGTGGTTCAGTCGGTTAAGCGTCTGACTTGATTTTGGCTCAGGTCGTGAACTCTCAGGGTTGTGCGATTGAGCCCCACGTTGGGCTCTGCACTCAGCGGGGAGTCTGAGATTCTCTCTCCCTCTCCCTCTCCCCTGCGTGCTCTCGCTCTTAAAAACAAACAAAAAACTCCAATGTCACCTGAATAGATAAGTGTTCTGGGAGTTTAGAGAACTAAAACACTAAACACACTATCCCCTTGGGGCAGCATGGAATTTGGCATTGAGAAGTGATGAAGGAAGGGCTTTGGGTCCAAGAGAAGGCTCATCTTGTTTCAAGGGAGTGTGCACGGATGAGGGAGCAAAAGGGGGCTTGTCTCCCTGCCCACCCGCCTCCAGTGGGTCACGCTGTGGGGACGAGCAAGGGGAGGGATGCCCCTTTCAGGGGCAGGGAAGGGGAGAGAGAGCAGCTGGTTATCTTTCTTGTGCAGTGTCATCAGGATCCCCCTACTTGGCTCTCATAGCATCCCTCTCTCTCCTCCTCTCCAGGTATAATTTCTTTAGGCCTCCAGGATGGCCATCCAATTCCGTTCACTTTTCCCCTTGGCATTGCCTGGAATGCTAGCAGTCCTCGGCTGGTGGTGGTTTTTCTCTCGTAAAAGGCATGTCAGCAGCCAGGACAGACAGGTGGAGGCCAGCGCTGTGGAGCTGAGGGCTGGCTGTACCATCAGAGAGCCACGCCCCAGGGAGGACCCCTGTCCTGGAGTAGTGTCCACACCCCCCAACGTCGGACTGCTGGCAGAAAAGGAGCTGTCTACCGTGAGCAAGCCTCCCGCAGAGCCCCCAGCCTTGCTGCGGCCACATCCAACCTCTCGCAGGTCCGAGTCCTCAGGCAGCCTTCCTAACACCACGGACACGAGATTTCGACCAGGAACACGCAGAGATGACAGTGCAAAGGTGGAACTAGCCCTAACGGGTGATGAAGCTGGGTCCGTTCCTCCAGAGTGTCCCCTCCCGACCCCAAAGAGTGTTCCTTTTGCCCACGAAGCGGCCGAGGTGTGCAAGCGAGAGTCCCCGTTCAGTGCGACGGGAGTAGGGGGCTGGCAGGGCCAGGCTGCGGCCCCCCAAGAGAAGCCGAGAGAGACGGGGGGGACCGAAGGCACCGGTGACGCAGCGTCAGGAGAAGGCGTGCTGGAAGAGGGTGTGCAGTCCCCGGAGCCCGACTCTGAATCGGACAGCAGCAAGGCGCCCAGCCCCGCTCCCTCGGGAGCAGCGGGGGAGAGCGGGAAGGTCAGCCCGCCGCAGACGGAGGAGGAGGAGGAGGCAGTGGGGAAGCTGCTGAGCAGCCTCATCGAATCGGCTCACACGGAGCTGAGGGAGGATGACGAGCTGCTGGTGCCACGGGTCAGCGGCGGAGCCTGCCACGCAGATGGCACAGGGGGGCCAGGCAGAGAGACTGTGGAGCAAAATGAGAAGATCGAGCAGGCTGCCTACCAGATCATCTCCAGAGTGATCTTGGAGGCAACTGAAGAGGTGCTGGCCACCACCGTGGGCAGGATTGCAGATCGGGTGTATCAGGCTTCAGCTGGTCAGCTCCAAGGGCAGGAGGAGAGCTGTGTGCCGGTCTGCCAGAAATCTGCCCCGGGGCAAGGTGCTGAGGAGCCCGCTCCAGCCACCGAGGAGGCAGAGGCAGCCTCCGCCGCAGATGCCACGCTCCCCTCGCCACACCTGCCCGCAGAGGACCTGCCACCACCAAAGACCTACAGGAGCTGCCTGAGCAGCCCTCTGTCCAGCCCCACCAAGGACAGGAAGCCAAAGAACTCCGCACACCACATCTCCCTGGCGCCTTGCCCAACTCCAGCCGTCCCCCAGGGAGAGTCACTAGATGAAGCCCGCGTCCTGGTGGAAAATGCCGGATGCATCCCCTGCACTTCTGACACCAGCCAGGAGGCCCCTTCAGTGGCCTCTGAGCAGTGCTCAGATTCCATCAGCACTTCGGGGCTTGAAGACTCGTGTACGGACACCAACTCAAGCCCCAGGAGCAAGGCCATCTCCCCGCCGCCGCTGCTAGAAAGTACTATACCCTTCAGCAATGGGGTGCTGAAGGGGGAGCTATCAGACTTGGGGAATGAGGATAGCTGGACCGTGGATGCAGAAGCAGATCATTCGGGAGGTAGGAGGGCCTTGGGTGTTCCTCGCTTAGAGGACGGGGTGGGGGTTCTCCCTTTGTCCGGTAGGCGAAGGCTGCTGGTCTGCCTCTTCCTCTGCTGCTCCTGCAGTAGTAATGATCTTCAACTCCGAGTCCCAGCTGGCCTGCAGAAAGTCGGGGCCCAGCGGAGCGCTGGCTCCCCCGAACCCCCCAAAGCCGCGGGAGCTGTAACTTGGTTCGGCAGCCGGGGACCCTCCCCAGTCCTCCCGAAGGAGCCAGCTCCATGTTGGGTCTGGTGATTAACCTCCACATGCCTCTTTGCTTCTCTTAAACCTAACCTCTTAAAGGTGTTTGTAATGGAGAGGCCTCCTTAGCTTTAATTCCCAAGTCCCAAGAATGGGTGTGAACTTTTTTTTTTTTCCCAATGGTTTATTTTGTTTTAATCATGTGCTTGTTCCCATGTCTTCACCTGCCTTCCTTCTCCAGAAGCTCTTACCGGGTAAGTGCCCAGAGAGCGGCCACAGCCTTGACACTTGAGGGAGGCTCTCGCTCTCCTGCCTTGTCGCCACTATTCCTCCGCAGAGAGCCTCCGCCATTTACTTTCTATGCAGCTGCAGTTCCGTCCCCAGGAAAGAGGGGCACTTTGGTCACGAAGTGTCCACTGGGGGTTTCGAGTGCTGACCCCAGCATAGACAGTTCAGACTGCTCACGTACAGGTCAGCAGCTCCTGACCCTGGTTTCGCAGCCACCCTGGGGTACGTTCAGTTATCTCCTGCAAAGAGGCCGTGAATTCCCCGTGGGGGTCTCTGACTTGCTTGTCCTGGAGCCGCTCCCTACTGTCTCCACTCCAGGAAGGTTGGGAGTCTTTTTTTTTTTTTTTTTTTTTTTTTTTATTCATGCGAGTCAGAGGGAGAGAGAGAGAGAGAAAAACAGGGAGAAGCAGGCTCCCAAGGAGCAGGGAGCCCGATGCGGGACTCGATCCCAGGACCCTGGGATCATGACCTGAGCCGAAGGCAGACGCTTAACCATCTGAGCCACCCAGGCGCCCTGGGAAGGTTGGGAGTCTTTAGTGGGAGTTCCACTCCTTCCAGCTGCATCTGGTGTGTATCCCACACCAGTTTTGTCACCTCTAAGCTGGCTGTTGAATTGAGACACCACTGATTTCTGTACCTCTAAATGAAAGAAAACTCACCATTGTGATCATGATCATAGAAGGCCAGAGACTATAAGATGCATCCAAGTTTCGGGGGTGTTAGAATGTTTTTGTTTTTGTTTTTAAAGATCTTAAAATGGGTAGACAAAAATTTTTCTAAGAATGAAGGAGTTTCCCTTTATCTCCTGGCCGTCAGCTGAATTAAGCCCGTCAGCCATGTTGTGCCACCTGTAGATGGATCGTGGCAGCTACGCAGGTGTGGCGAAGGCCTGGAGTTGAGGCCTCACGGGAGAGCAGGCTGATGGTCGGGATGTATAGGGACAACAGACGGGAGGCTGGCGGTACCATCCCCTCAGCACTCCGGCGTGCAGAGCACAGGCTCCTGCCTCCCTGGCATCTGCACCTGAGTGTGCACAGCCCTGCCTGTGCCTGAGGAAGTTGAAACCAGGGGGGCCCGGGGACCACCAGCTGAGGAAGCTGGCTGTGAGGGCGGCCTGCTAGAGTCCCGCGTGGTCTGAGCCACCTCTGGGTGTCCCTGGGGTGACCCATATCGGCCAGTCCTGTACTGTCCAGAAGAGGCTGGGGCCCCTGATGTTGAGGGACAAGGTTACTTTGAAGGTGACTTGTCCTTAGCTGGGGACGGAATCTGCATCCAGACAGTACATGCATTGCTTGGCAAAGGATTATGTCCAGGGTTTGGAGAAACCATGTGGATAATAACCTAATTAGTAGAATCTCAGGAGCAATCTATTTCTGGCAGTTAAGTCGTCCATATTTAAGCCAGAATCCTTCCTCATGAGCTGGTCTGGACCCGTGTTTTTCTAGGATAGCCCCTCCGGCACACTCTTGAGTGGGAGTGGAGCAGACCACATCGATGCCAGGGCCCTGCTTCCTGCTCTGTCTGGGGCATAAACTTCAGCCCAGTCTTTTGATCAGGGGGTAAAGACCCACCATGAGCCCAGAAGAGCATTCAGAGTTGCACAAGTCAGTCCTAAGCAGAGAGAGAGGGGGCCTCCTTCATCTACTTCCAGTAGGGCCCTGGGGCAGGATAAGAATGGGGCCGTCGGACGAGCCAGCAAGGGAGGACTCTTCTAGCTCTGCTTGACTGAAGTTCACCGTCCATGAGCCAGGGTCGGGGGCCGTGGGGGACTAGAGTCCCTTGGTCTTGAGGGGCTGGTGCAGTTGGAAGGGCGTGGGCCCGTTGTGACTGGTCGGTCTCTGTGGAGGCCAGCCCTGATAGCCGGCTCTGGGGACCATGTGGACCTGTTGGCCTGCTCACCCACCCTGTGGACCCCCCTTCCCAGCTCACCACTTGTCTGCTCCAGCAGCTGTGACTGGGCGTGGCCGCCAGTTCAGCAAGTGGGGCTGTGAGTGACAGGCTAAAATTAGGTGTATCTACACCCCCAGGCCTCCTTTCATTGGGGTTGTTCTAAGCCTTCTAGATTTTGGGTTGACAGTCACCTGCCAAGCTTGAGGAGGGGGTGTAGGGCGGGGGCCTCCTGGGAATATGGATTTGGAAGTTCTGCGTTTTTGACTGCTCTTGGCTGGTGTCTGGGTGTCTGTGCATGCTGCTTCCTCCCCTGCAGGCTCGGACGGGAACAGCATGGACTCAGTGGATGGCTGCTGTGGCCCCAGGAAGACTGACAGTTTCCAGAACGCCCAAACAGGCTCCAGTCCTAAGAAGGTGGACCTCATCATCTGGGAGATTGAGGTGCCCAAGGTAAGGGCTGCAAGTTCCACGTTCCCTCAGACCCAGGGTCATCGGGCTTAGCGGGGAGGGACAGTAAACCCGAAGCAGCCCCTGAGCAAGCCAGAGGCTGGAGGGAAAGTGAGGGCCACACTCTACCAGGGCCCAGAGAGCTTCCTGCGACGTGGAGCTCCCACAGCTGCCTTCAGGGGGGACTTGTTCTCGTCTCCTTGAAACTCACAGGCTACTCACTCTCCCCCTGGGGCTTCCTTGTGTGTGCTGGAGCTCCCATCTGTTTGGAGATGCTAGCAAAAACCAGACTGAGGACGTGGGCCAGGCGGGACTCCCTTCGCTGTGCTCTGCTCTAAAGCTCCGCAACGCAAAGTATATTTGATAATTGAGCACAGCAAAAATCCATATTTCAGAGAGCTTGAAAAGTATAGACATGTATGAAGAAAATAACAAGCTGCTCTAATCTCACCCCCGGGAGTGACTGTGAAGACGGGTGTTTTCTTCTCGTCTTGGCACCCTGTGGTTTTTAAACAAAACTGAGATGATGTTGCTTTAATTAATGCTTTTAAATATTTAACAATTTAATTTTCCTGTGTTATTCTTTGAAAATATGATTTTAACTGCATTATTCATTGTGTGAATGTCAGTTTACTTCACCAGTCTTCAAATCCAGGGTACCGAAGTGGTTTCGAGCTTCTTGCTGTTCTAACTTAACAATTTTATTAGCTTGATCTTGATGTTTATTGCTGGGGCTCAGAAATAATTGGCCAGCTGAATTCTCCTGGGCACTTAGTTCCCTCCCGCGGTGGAGACTTGGCTTGGTTTGAACTCTGGGTCAGGTGGGCTGCTTTGACCCTGGGGTACAGGCTCCCTTGGTGTTTTCTTCCCCCGTGACCCTGAGAGCCATTGTGCCCTCTTTTCCAGTGGTTGCAAAGGGCACGGGCAGGCAGCTTCCGGGCAGGGCCACTCCCAGGCGCCTCATGCTTTGTCACTGCCTGCAGAGGTCTGTGCTGAGGCCTTATCGTTCATTCTTAGCTCTTACTGTTCTTTCTGAGCTGAAATGCTGCATTTAGTTTTTAACCAAATCATTTCTCCAATCCTGGCTTTTGTATTCTTCCCTCATACCCTTCCTAAACAAGATTTTAAAGATATGTGCTTGTTCATTGTAATTTTGAAAGATCCTTTTTATCCTTTTGAAATTCAGTCCTAAGAACTGGTGCTTGCCCCCCCCCCCCAGGAATGTTTAATAGAAAGTCAGTCCTGTCTGAAGGGCACCTCCTAACTAAGGGAGATCGGTACTTGCAGACTGGAATACTGGCACCGTTGGGGATGAATCAATGGGAGATAGTCCTCAGTATATTCCTACCTCCCTTAACCAAGCCCTGTATCCTCTCCTCTCTCCCAAGTATACTTAACTAGCACCGTAAGTTTCCTATTAGCAAAGTGAGAGAGAAGAGTTTTTCCTTTTTTGCACTTATCACTGCTGTCTAAATCCTACTTCTTCCCAAAGCCAGAACTGGACGAGTAAAGGAGTAAGAACCGTTGCCTGAAGGTCCTTCCTTCTCAGCTCCAATGTGTGTTCAATCGCAACATCGAATGTGTAACACTGGTCTTCAGTTGGTACTGTACACTCAGGCTTCCTCTGTTTTAACTGATGAATAGTATTTTCAAGGCCCTCAGCATATCTGTATAGTTGCTTACCTGATATAGATGCAATATTAATGCCTTTAAAGTATGAATCTATGCCAAAGATCACCTTTTGTTTTATGAAAGATTACTTAGAGGAAATAAGAAAAACCACGTTTGCTCTCCACGTTCTTCCAGTGCTTTGGCACTGGTTTACACTTTGTGCTGATGTGCTTTTCTCCAGTATCAGTGCTCAAGACACAGTGAGGCAAATTAAAAAACAAAACAAAACAAAAAACCCCTGAAGACTGATTAGAGACATCACCACTAAAAAAACTACATTTCTAAGCTAGGATTTGTTATATGCAAATATTTTCTGCCTCTTCTTTTGTTCTGTTTAAAACAATAAAGTGCATTTGTATTAAAAAAAAAAAAAGGCTCTGCAGCTCTGGGTGCAGCGTGACGGTGTCCCTGGGGGCTCTGCTGGGGTGGGGTCATTTGGGATTATCTCAGAGCCTGTCTTACTTACATCATGGCTAAGTTGGGCTTCTTCTGTCTGCCTTGAGCTCTTGGCACGCCGGGCACTTCTGCAGGCCTCATGCTCCAGAGGCTCCGGGCCACTGTCAATTGGCAGCAGAAGCCCAAGGGTTCTTTCTTTGACTTTTATTTTCGAATGGAGCCTCTTTATCTTCGAACCCGGATAGACTTGAGGAGGTGGAGGAGTCGTAAATCGACCTTTGTGCTGGTGAAACCTCTCCTAGTAAAGATTTGGGAGGAGAAGATTCTGGCTTTGCAGCTTTCTGGATGTGGGCCACGTTGTCGGGGAAGAAATGGGAACTGCTGAGAATGGGCGTCAGACTGTAGTTCAGCCACTTAGTAGCTGTGTGATGTTGGGTGAGTTACTTAGCCCCTTTGAGCTTGTTACTTTTATCAACATTTTACAGATGAAGTTACCTGTTTCAGAGCTAAGCGCTCAGAACAGTGGCAGATGACTGCTGGCATGTTCACAGTTAATGGTATGTTTGAGCTTGACCTTGTGTAAAACAAAGGTAGGTCTTTGGGAACATAGGGAATTGGTTTCCCATTAACACCCCTAGTTGTCTCTTTCTCTCTCAGCACTTAGTTGGTCGGCTAATTGGCAAGCAGGGGCGGTATGTGAGTTTTCTGAAGCAAACATCTGGTGCCAAGATCTACATCTCAACCCTGCCTTACACCCAGAACATCCAGATCTGCCACATAGAAGGTCAGTGGCAGCTGCTGGCTTGGGTTTCATTGTCTTCCCTGAAATGTAAAGCATTTGAGTCCCAATTATTCCCCTTTTGGAATCTTAAGTCTCGGAATAGAAAACCCTGCTCATCCCAGGTGAAGGGAACGTGGTGCGGCGGGGAGAGGGGTGTCTTCCTTTAGCTTTCCTCTCCTGTTCGGCTACCTGAAGGAGCCTCGGCTCCCTCCCCCAGATCTTCTGGCCAGGAGAGGTGTGGGCACTCAGATGGGCAGGCTGGGGGGCCTGGGTTTAGGGTGCCTGCTGCCTCACGTGGCTTCCTTGCAGAGCAGAACGTGATTGCCCTCTGGTCGGTGAGGGCTGGGCCTTTCCCTTCTGCTAGCCTCTTCTTGCATTCAAAGCGTGGGCACAACGGCAGAGGTACCACTTGGAAAGGTCAGTGGGTTTCAAGCCTCTTTAGATGCTTTTCTTCTTAAGGCGAAACTTAGCTTTTTGGCTCCGGAAAGATACACGTGAACTCTAGGAAAACTCTTGCGGAGTGGGGCATGTGCGGGAGTTTGGTTTTGAAGTTTGTCGTGCCCACTGTGACTCTCCTGCCTCTATCCCCCGTTTAGGTTCTCAGCATCATGTAGACAAAGCACTGAACTTGATTGGGAAGAAGTTCAAAGAACTGAACCTCACCAATATCTACGCTCCCCCCCTGCCGTCACTGGCACTGCCTTCTCTTCCAATGACTTCCTGGGTGAGCATGCGCCTGGCGGACCAGACCAGACATTCTTGTCTCCGTTTCATTCCAATCTGCCCCAAATAAGAAACTCCCAAGACTGTGGGCCCAGAAGGGCAAGAGCTTGTTGATGCCTGTGACCTCTCACCTCTGGCCTCCTCTGGTCAGTTTGGTTCTGCTTCTAGCCTGCCTTCTCTGCGGCTGGGCTCTGGGGCTGAGGTGCTGGTACAAAGCCAGACGTGCCTCTGTCGCTACTTGGAAGGACCATTCTCCTCGGGCTCTGACACCCAGGCACCTTTTGGGTTTTCAAGGCATTTGTCTAGAAAGGATTATAGTCTATCCAGGAGACTGGGTGCACCCAGACTGGCTTGGTGATGTGTCCAGAGTCCCAGGCTAACACCTCTGAGGCCTGGATGGGACCCACCTTTGTGGGCCTGGATGGGCTTGGAGTGGGTCCTTGTGTTCCTTACTCCTAGTTGAGCCAGGTCTAGTGGAGGCCCTGGTGAAGGGTTCCCTTCCCCTTCCCTCTCACGGGAGGTACCTAGATTATAAAGGAGCAGAAATTCTCCCCACTTGACCCTGGGATCCAGGTGGCTCTTTGGAGGTTGCTCCTGGAGTTTGGCAGTAGGGGAAGCTGACATCTTGGGGCCTCTGTGTGCTGGGGTCTCTGTGGTCTCTGGGGCCTATCGCTCAAGATCCTGCAGCATGCCTCCAGCTCTATTTGAGCCTTCTCTCCCTGGTAGAAGAATTGCAGGGTTCTGTAGGCCAGAGATGATGACGGCACTTCACATGGGGGCTGAATGTGCTGCTTTAGGAAAATTGTCTCCCTGGTGTTGGTTTGGGAGGGTTGACTTCTTGGTTCTAAATCTTGCCGCCTCCGAAGATGCTTGTGCCGTGGGGGGAGGGGTGGGTGTCCAGTTACTTTCCTGTGGATATTGGGGAGTGGGCTGAACCCGACTCCATGCTTTACTTCTGAATGCTAGCATTTTTTTCCCCAGCAGGCTTGGACCAGACCCACTCTTTAATTGTAAATAATTGAGCGGCTGGCATGGCTTCCTTCCCTTGTTCTCTGTGTGGCTTGGTGGAACTGGAGAGGAGATCCCAGGTGCCTTTCAACCAGCTGCACTGGGGGGAGGTGGGGAGGTCAGGACTCTTAGCCAGAGGCCCAGCCACCTGACTGGAAGATGGCCTCAACATCTTCCTGTGTCCAGGGCACCTAGATGTTGCCTGTAACTTGGCATCAGGAGAACTAGTGTCTAGGGACAAGTCATTTTGAGAACAGTCTTGGCCTCTGCTAGGGCCTTTAATGTTGGGCCTGGCCACTGAGCAAACCTACATTCCAAATCCCAGAGCGGGGATGAGTTGGGAGGAGGTCTGTGGAGTGCAGAGCCCAGGAGACAGGATGACTCAGACTGTTGCATTCTTGCTGGCAGGAAAGCAGAGTAGAGGGACCCTCCCGGACTTAGAGCTCCTGGGGTCAGCTGCAGGGCCCAGGTTGCTGGCTGACAGGCCTGGGGCCTGCCCACCTCTTACTCTCTGGTGGCTTGTTCTCTGTGGCCCCTCATTCCCTTGCTTCGAGAGAGGCTCTTGCCCAGGCCCCTACATGGTATCTACAGCTGGCTCCTCCCTGCCCAGCCCTGGGACAAGGCCTCCTCTAGAGGTTACTCTTGGCATTGCAGGACAAGGGGCCCTGGAGCACGCTTTCCATGGCTGAAGTACTTGACCTTGGGCTTCTGCCATTTGGGTGCCATGTTGCTTTGGGCTGCCACGCCCTTTTCAGAGATGTGCCAGTTCAGAGGTTTGCCCTGGGGCCTCCGGGCTTACCTCAAACCTGAGAAGGGAAGGATCGCTGCAGTGCCTGCTGCCCCTTCCCCTTCCCTACAGCTCATGCTCCCTGATGGCATCACTGTGGAGGTGATCGTGGTCAACCAGGTCAATGCTGGGCACCTGTTCGTGCAGCAGCACACGCACCCTACCTTCCATGCACTGCGTAGCCTGGACCAGCAGATGTACCTGTGTTACTCGCAGCCCGGAATCCCCACCTTGCCCACCCCGGTGGAAAGTAAGTGCTGCCTGGGGCTCAGATGGGGAGCCTTGGGCTCTGGCCAGGCCAGGGGGAGGAGTTTTGGGAGTGGCCTATTCTTCCTTTGGTCTTGACCCAGGAGGAGGATGTTCTGGGATCCTTCACATGAACAGCATCCCTGAGTTCTTGCCATCAGTGTGGAGTTAGTCTGGGCTGAGTTTCCCAGCTTTCCTAATGGAAATGGTCTTTCCACTGGCTGACAGAGTCCCATGGCGTTGGAGTGGGTTTTTGACACATGAGTTCAGATCCCAGCTCTGCCATTTATCTGTTAAATGGGGCGATGCCCACTTGTTTCAGGAATCAGTGTTGGATGTATGTGTGTTATATGTAAAGTACCTGATCCAGATGATGGTTTTTGGAGACGCTCCCTGAGAGCAGTAGACCCTGCTGTGGGGTGTCTCACCTCCATGTGACAGATGAGAAAACAGGCTCTCAAGTCAGATGGCTGGCCCAGGTGATACCTGAGCAGGAACTGGGCTCTAAACTCAGTTGTGCTTCTGAGTCTGTGCTTTATCACTTTTTCTTACTGCTCTTGTTGGCAAGAATCCAATGTCAGAACATCTCTTCACCCACCCCTAGCAGGGACTCCTACCCTGGAGCACCCTGATGGGCTTTTAAGGATTTAGGGAAACCTTTGTAGCAGAAATAAGGATTTAATTGTCATCAGAGTCTCTTAACGTTGCTTCAGTCCATCAGTGAGGACCAAACTGGGATCTAAGAGGACTGTACCAGGGGCTCCCTTTAAGGGTCAGGGTGAGGACATGGTGAGGTCAGCTCTGTGTGCAGGCCCTCGCCCTGTAGTTCCATGTGTCCTGTCCCTGCTGCCGTGGGGCGGGGGTAGGTGACTGCTGGCGCACTTGCTCCCTGGCCGTGGCTGCCTGGGAGGCCTGTGTTCTTGGCACCTTCCTGAAGCAAAGGCTAGAAGAGGCGGCCTTAAGCCTAGGGGTCCTCTTCTGATCATTTAAGAGTCACCATGGGCCGGAACAGGCTAACAAGATCTGCTGCACTTGGGAGGTTCTAGATTCTTTCTGGGACTTTCCCTTAAGAATGTAAGTCCCCATTCCCTGAGTTTTGGATTTTACTTGGTTCTTGGTTTTTTTTACTTTGCTCTTCTGGTCAGTCCTTGTTCATCTCAGGCTTTAGGTTTCAGAGAGTAAATGGATCTGGAAGAATGCTTTTTGGTCTAGAGAGCTTTTGGGTGGCATACATGGGAGGCCAGATTTCCCACGTTCAGGTCCTTCCCTTGGCGCCGGTCTCAGCCTCCAGGGCAGCTTTGGAGACTCCTGGCTATTTCCCGGCCCTGTGGAGGCACAGGCCTCTGAGAAGTAATGTGGGGAGGTGGGTAGCATCGACCGGGGTGACCCTTGGTGCCCTGCCCTAGGCCAGGAGTATCCACACGCTCTCTTCCTGACCTGCAGTAACGGTCATCTGCGCTGCCCCTGGCGTGGACGGTGCTTGGTGGCGAGCCCAAGTGGTGGCCTCCTATGAGGAAAGCAATGAAGTGGAGATCCGCTACGTGGACTACGGTGGATATAAGAGAGTGAAAGTGGACGTGCTCCGGCAGATTCGGTGGGTCCGCACTCCTCAGACATGCACACACCCCGGGTGTCAGGGGATGTGGGGTTACTGTAGAGCTGGCTCAGTTCTACCACGCCTGGGACATAGGTTGACTCTTCTGTTGCCTACTCTGGTTTAGCAGAGTCTGATAGAAACAGACTGCACTGCTTGCCTCAGCTAGAAAGGCCCGTCTTGGGGCAGAGGTCCCCCAAGTATCCTTAGGGCAGAAGTGAAGCAGGCTTCTGTCTGGGAGCTTGATGCCAGGAGTCCCTCTGAGGTCAGGCTGCTGCAGGGGGGGAGGCCTGCATTCAGGCATGCTGGGAGCTGCGGCCTGCTGCCCGTCGTATATGCCTCTGCTTGGTTTCGTTTTAGGTTTGCTGAGGGCTCACAGCGCTAAAGCACAAAGTAAATATTGGCCTGAAATGGAATCAGCCTTCAGGTTCATAAACAGTGTTCCTTCCTTGCCTTTCTAGATCTGACTTTGTGACTCTGCCATTCCAGGGAGCAGAGGTTCTTCTGGACAGCGTGATGCCCTTGTCAGGTAACAGATGGGGCCCCTGGCAAGGTGGGAACCGTGGTTGAGAGTAGGTCTTTCTCCTTGAGAGCCTTCGTTTGTGCCCGGGGGACTTAGGCTAACACAGCTTGCTGCCTCGGTCAGAGTTTGACTGGATAGGTCTGGGCCAAGGCCCGAGGACGTGCCTCTCTAACAAATACTCAGCTGATGGCACCAGTGCTGCTGGCCCATGGACCACCCTTCCAGGGCCGCCGTTCTGGACTTTCCCCAGGCCACCAACTCGGAGAGGTTTCTAACACAGGACGTAGCTGAGACCCAGGGTCCTAGCATCCGTGGCCGAGGGTAGGTGCGGAGGCACGCAGCACTGCTCATCTGGGCCTCCGCCCCTGGGGCACCGTGGGGACCGTGCTGACACTCACGGGTGTGGTATCCTACACTGACCCTGTCCCCAGATGGAAGGGACTAGCGGAGTGATCTGGGTGAGTTAGCCTCGCCGGTTTTCTAAACCCTCTGGAAAATGGGATGGTATCTGTCCTTCGGGCTGGCCGAAGGAATTACATAAATCCAGGAACTGGTATGTGGACGGTGGTCAAGTTGCAGCTGCCCATGATGAGGAATTTGGTATTTGTAGGTGATAGTCCACTCGTCTTGTTCTGGTCTGCATCCGGGAAGTGCTCTGGAGACCCTGCAGGCTCGCTGCAGTCCGGGCCGCCCGAGCGCTGGGCAACAGCCTCCTTCTGTTTTCCCGTATTGCTCTTGTGTGGTTCCGTCCATTTCTGTCCATCTCCGCGGTCTGTCCAAGCCCAGATGCAGTGCCCCCCCCCCCGCCCCCGTCAGCCCCACCCCGCCCCAGACCTTTGTGGCCCTGCCTCCCCATCCTGCCGTTTCTTGCCTTGGCTGTGTGCTTGCGCCTAACCGTGTGAGGCGGTGGGGGGTGCTGCCCCGTGCCCTGCCCCGCCGCGCTCTGTGGCCTCACCTTCGTTGGGTGTCACCGGAGGAAGGTTCAGCCTGGTCAGCGCCTGGATGAGGTGGTGGCGGCAGCAGCGTTCCCCTTGAAGGCAGAGTTTGTGTCCCTTTGCTCCTGTCCCCCGGCAGTAGTCTGTAGCAGAGCCCCTGTGAGTGTACCCGCTTAGAGCCCCACGGAGGCCTGGCCTCCGTCCCTGTGTGGATTCTTCCAGATGGAAGTTCTCCGGTCCCTGGCGGCATCCGCTCGGAAAACCCCTGGAAGCTGTGTGAGCAACAAGGATGCTTTGCCTCCATGAAAGCCTAAATGCTGCTTTTTCCTTTTAAAGATGATGACCACTTTTCACCTGAAGCGGATGCAGCCATGAGCGAGATGACCGGAAACACAGCACTGCTGGCTCAGGTGTGTGCCTGGGAGGCGGGCAGGCTGGCCAGGGTCTGTCTGAGGAGCCAGCCTCCTGCCTGGCTTTTGTGCAGTGCCTCCCGGCCTCTTATCAAGGATCTTGGATTCTTGGCAACTGACCTTTGAATTCCTTTCTCCTTTGTGGCTTGGGCCCTGGGTTGGTCAGCAGTCTTTAACGAGGGGTGCATGGGCGGCGGGGAGCTTTTTAAACATGCTTGCTTTCTTCTGTTGTTTTTCTAGGTGACAAGTTACAGTCCAACTGGCCTTCCTCTAATTCAGCTATGGAGTGTGGTTGGAAATGAAGTAAGTTCTGTTCTTTTCCTTTAAGTTATTGGCCAGCAGTCGCAGATTGATTTGGAGCTGATTCTGCTGTTGTATCCTCTTGAGCTAATCAGAGGATGTAACTGTAGACCAGTGCACCCCCCCCCTCCCCACCTCGGGACATTTAGCAATGTCTGGAGACATTTTTTTGGTTGCCCCAGTCGGGGGTGGCGATGCTAGTGGCATCTGGCAGGTAGAGGCTGGGGAGTGCTGTTGAATCTCCCACAGTGCACAGGACAGGCCCCACAACAAAATGTCAGTGGTCCTTCCTGGACCTAGGCCTTTCTGGACCTTGTGTCCACTGGGTTTTCCACCCCATTTCATGGTGTTAATGCTTAAATTTCTTTAGTGTACTGAAAAGCCCGCCTTCATGCCGGCAGAACATTCAGTAAATGCCCTCATTGGCCTAGAAGAGTCCTGTCCCCCACCCCCCACTTCTCTGGTGCCCGGCATGTGCAGTGGTCATCTGGGACCAAGAGAGGGAGAACCGTCGTCGGCCTGACAGCCGACCCCGAGGTGCAGTGGGTAAAGCTCTCAAGGGACTTTGTTTTCCAGGCGGTGTTGATAAACCGGTCGCTGGTGGAGCGAGGCCTTGCTCAGTGGGTAGACAGCTACTACGCGAGCCTCTGACCCCCGTCTCCCACAGACGCTTCTGGAGTCTTTATGCACTGTTGAAACCGGGCTTGGCGCTGAGGCAAAGACATTACATCAGAATAACAAACGTTATCTTCCCCAGAAAGTCGTCTTTTTTTTTTCTTTTCCCCACATTGTAGTCATGTTGAGAAGTCTCCTCTCTCAGACAAGGAAGGAACCATGGGTTCTTTCAAAGCCATAGGATGGTGTTTAACAAGCCAGTCAGTTTAGGCTGGTTCCAAGCCTTTAAAAAAAAAAAGTGAAAGTAAAACTGTCTCAACCAGGTTGTCCTCCACCACCTCCGTTCCCATCTTCCTTCCCACCTGCTCCCCTCACTCAGAACCAAACCAACCGCAGCAGACAGACCAAGGGATGTGTTGCCTGAGAGGGTTTCTTTTCCTTCAAAATCTTTCTTCAGGGAGCAAGACATGAAATCACTAATTGGTATGGATTACTTGTACAGCTTACGTCAACAAATTTATGATGTTTGACCAGTTTTTATAAACTTCATCTAGGTCTCTAGGAAGGCAGACTTTTTAATGCATATGTAAATATGAAGCAGTCAGACCTCCGGCCTTGGTCCGTGGGGGGGCGGGGAAGGGTTATCTTGCCAAGCCTGGTTGTAATTTGTAACCATTTTCTATTTGTGCAAACTCTGTAAATATATGTTTAAAAAAATGTAATATTTTGTATAAGATACACTGGAGAACAAAGGGAACTCAAGATTTTTCCACACCCCACATGATCGGTGAGCTACCCCTGCGGGCTCCTGTGGCTTCCAGCACACTGGACAGGGTGACTGTAGGGTATAGATTGTGAGCTGGGATTTTTTTTTTTTCCTGTACAAATTTGTTAAAAAAAAAAAAAAAAATCAACTCATTTGAATTACCTTCCGGTGGTGTGTTTGATTCTTTTTTTAGACTGACTTTTAGCATTGGGCTGACATAAGAAAGTAACTTAATATAAATCTTGAACTGTATACATTGTAGCTTTGAGTCCATTTCTTCCAGGGTGAGAGGGTTGGGGTGGGGAGTGAGGTGGTGGTGAGTGTGGAGGGGCCCCGTCTAGAGGAGCCCCTTTAGCCAGAAATTTCCATTTTTTCCCTCTCCTTGCCCCACAAGGTGGCAGCCAAGCTTCCCTCTGGCTTCCCCTAGTGAGTGTCTCGGATAGCCAGGCCTGAGTTTAAAGCACTGATTTCCACAATTCTTTGGGCGTTCTCAATAGATCTTTGAAGTTATGTCATCTGTTGCGGTGGTAGGAGCAATATATGCCTACATGGGGAGAGCAGAGTGAAGTTTTGCTTTTTTAAAGATTTATTATTTTTTAAGATTTTTATTTATTTATTTGACAGAGAGACAGTGAGAGCAGGAACACAGCAGGGGGAGTGGGAGAGGGAGAAGCAGGCTTCCCGCTGAGCAGGGAGCCCAATGTGGGGCTCGATCCCAGGACCCTGGGATCATGACCTGAGCCGGAGGCAGACGCTTAACGACTGAGCCACCCAGGCGCCCCTAAAGATTTTACAGAGAGTACGTGCTCACAGGAGGGATGGGCAGGGGAAGAGGGAGAGAGAGAGAGAAAGGGTCTTAAGTAGATGCCCCACTGAATACGGAGCCCAATATGGGGCTCGAGATTATGACCTGAGTGGAAATCAAGGGTCTGATGCTTGACTGATTGAGCCACCCAGGTGCCCCAGAATAACATTTTGATTTAACAGACCCTCCAGGGCAAAGGCAGACTCGGGCCCTTTGGCCTGTGTCTCAGAGCTTAACACCCCTCCCCGCCCCCCGCCCCGCACCTGGGTTTCTGGAGAGTGGAGGCTGCCCAAGGTTCCTTCACACTGAAGGAATCCTCCCACAGAGCTGCAGCCACTCTCCCCGGCCGTGGGTAACGAGTGGTTAACAGCCCGTTTCCCTTCCCCCTCATCTGTAGGATCAGATCATGGGACCAACCTCAAGGCAATGAAGCAAAATCATGGGAGTGTCCCCTGCTCGTACAGAGCTTGGCCCAAGGCAAGCTCTTATGGGGTCGTAGCTGAAGTCATCCTAAGTTCCAGCAGTAATTGGCTGTGACATTGGCCAGCTTGGGTTACACCCAGTCTCAGCTTTTTCTGTACAACTCTATCAGCTGGAGCAGACAAGGGTGTGTGGGAGCCTTCAAGCCAGTTTGGGGAAAGTCGCAAAGCCTGGTGTGCAGATTTGGCCTTTAGGAGCTATTGAAAGGTTTTGATGGAGGGAGCCACAGAATTCTGGTGCCTGGTGGGGGACAGGGTGGTCCAGACAAGATGAGGGCTTCCAGTGAGACAGCTCCTGGGGTGATGGGTCAGGATCCCTCGGACAAGGCCCCCAGGATTGGGGAAGATGGGCAGTGGGGATGAGGAGGTGGGCTGCTCAGGGCTTACAGTCTTAGCCTTCAGGGATGGGTTCCTCTAAGGAGGTTTTGATATATGGGAGTAAAGTGAGTTTAGAGGTTGGTGAAGGTCATGTACTCTGAATTAACCCTTCTTAGATTACAGAGTTCAGAAAAAGTTGATTTTGACCATTTTGCTGGTAATCTTGTTCTTATGGAGGGGTAGGTTTATGGAGGTCCTCACTCCCCCATTCTGGACGTCAGTACTCTGGGCCAGTGCATTTTAGACATCTGCTCTGAGTTAACTGGGCCATCCAGGGGATGGATGGTTTAAGTATGACTTTGAAAACTCATGGTGCTGGAGGGAGACTTGGTCACCTGCCCTGGGATATGGGGGAGACAGGTGGAATGCTGGGTGCAGGAGGCTAGAGCTTCCAACCTGTTCTTACTACAGGTGTTTATTTCAACTGCTTCCCCTCTGGTCCTCGGGGCCCTGCCAAGTGGGGCTGCTCCCAGTGGGGTGTCAGCATGGAGGCTGGGGCCCGGGTTACTGATACGCCTGCTACAGCCTCTTGCATGCCCCCTAACCATCACGGGCTTAAGATAAATCAAGATGAGTAGCTGGAGTGATGGAGAGCTTATTGTGTCAAGACAGTGTGCCGTTTTGGAGGAGATACTTGGTCCTCATGAGACCCCAGTCAGAAGCTGACCCTGGAAATAGATGGTGACTTAGACAGTGGTTTGCAGTTGGACACTCAAAGCCAGGCTCTTGTCCCAAGGCAGGTCGCAACCACAGCTACTCTGAAGTAACAGAACTGATCATGCTTTGTTCTGCATCCCCATGTAAAGGCTACGGTCGTTAAATCATCAGCCTGCGAAACAGTCTTAACAACTGAGAATGGGAAAAACACCATGGCAGGAGGTGATCAATCATTTTGCTTATATGAGAAATTAAAATTTGAGAGAAATGTAAATAAAGCCAGGAAGAACACGTAGCATCTAGGCCAGAGTGAATGGTTTTGATCTTTGATGATCTAAAAAGGAAAAAAATCTCCACTGGGAAAGGTCATCAGGGATATGGACAGAAAAGAGAACATCTGGATTGTTTCTACACCACTGTCCAGTAGAAACACGTGAGCCACGTGTGTAATTTAAAATTTTCTAGGAGCCTCAATAGAAAGGAAAAAACCAGGTGAGACTGATTTTAGTAGTTTGTTTAACCTAACATTTCAACATGTAATGCACATTGGAAATATCAATGAGATTTTATAGTATTTTTCATACTAAGTCTTGGGGAATCCTATGTGTATATTTTACACTTCCAGCCTGTCTTTGCTGACTAATCACGGCTCAGGTGCTCAGGTGGCGACCTTGTTGGGTACCAGACTCCCACTGATCAACATCATACCAGTACTGACGGCCTTATGTTGGTGTGTGTCCTTATCTTATTCAAAAAGCTCTAGGTTCCTTTGCACATTTATTTTTCCAGATGACCTGTAGCATGATTTTTTTTTGAGAGGCAATCATGGTGAATGTTTTACCAACATTTGGAAAAAATAATGCATGTTGTTGGTTTGTTATGAAGTTTTATGTAATATATTAAATTGAGCTTGTAAATTATTCATATCTAGTTTTTCTTTCTTGCCCTCTCCCTCCATTTTTTTTTTTTTTTTTTTTTGGGTCTGTACTTTCTGTCCATTCCCAAGAAAATACATTAAAAGATTCTGGTATTGTCACATTTTCCTGTTCTTCGTAAGTGGAAACTTCTGAAAGAAGCTGTTGTGTTGCTAGGTTTGAAAAAGCTCATGGGTGATATTTTCTCATCAATGTGAAATATCTTTGGTATTCTGTTTGGTGCTTTTTGTTTTAAATTTTGTATTTTTTTCTGTCATTTAATGAGGTGGGTGGATGGCTTATAAACAGCACACTGCTAGAATTTTTTTTCTTTTAGCGAAATCTAAGAGGTCAGTAGGTGAATCTGACTTGTTCATTGTAGTCACCGTTGCAATATTATTTGCCATTTAGTTCATTTTTCTGTTTTGTTTTGGGTGATTTTAGGCCTTTTTTGTTTGTTTGTTTTTGCTTTTTTCATTTGCTTGATCAGAACTTTTCCCTGTAGTAAATTTAGCATTTATTTTTATTTTTTAAAAGATTTTATTTATTTGAGAGAGAGAACAAAAGCAGGGAGTCGGGGGTGAGGAGGAGCAGAGGGAGAGGGAGAAACAAGACTCCTGGCTGAGCAGGGAGCCCGACGCGGGGCTCGATCCCGGGACCCTGGGATCATGACCTGAGCCGAAGGCAGCCGCTTAACCGACTGAGCCACCCAGGTGCCCCTAAATTTAGCATTTAACATCTTGTTTCTGTGTTATCAGTGGATATCAGTTATTTGCCAGTAACTTTGAATTTGTTTCTCTTAATACCACATAGTTATATTTCCTCCTTTCTCCCCAAAAGGGAAACTCAGCAGAAAGATTTCTGCCTTTCTTCCTACAGATGTGCATGCACACACATTCTCTGTCTCCTGGGTTTTGTTAGAATCATCTAGAATCCAGTTCAGAATGCCGAACTTTTTTCACATATGCCTCTATCTCAAGAGTTTTAGAATGGTGACATTAAACTTCAGTCACGTTACCGGGAAACATTTTCACCAACTTTGTTTCACTAGCTTTATTCCTACTATTTCTTACACACCTGCTCCTGAGGTCTTTATTTTGATTCACTTTTGTCTGGAGTATGACTTTGACTTTTTTTGGATT